TCCTGCTGATGTCAAGAAAAGATTCCTATTTTCTCAGTTGCACTACTTATCTGACCTATGAGTCATACATTTGCACTTCGTAGTGTACAACATATTTTAAGCAGCACTTTATACAATGATTATTTCTTAGTGGGGTTTTTCCTTAAAAAATAGCAGTCAGCAAGTAGTGGAGAAGCAAATTCTAAAATAAAGATCTTGTTCCTGCTGCTACAGCTGCTCAGGGAGAAGGATCTGAATCCAACATAAGCCTCAGTCAGATGTCAGATGATGCATTCCTCAGGGGTCAGTATTGGGACCGGTGTTGTTTAACATCTTTGTGGGCAACATGGACAGTGGGATTGAGTGCACCCTCAGCAAGTCTGCCGACAACACCAAGCTGTGTGGTGCGGCCAATGCGCTGGAGGGAAGGGATGCCATCCAGAGGGACCTTGATAGGCTGGAGAGGTGGGTCCATAGAACCTCATGAAGTTCAGCAAGGCCAAGTGCAAGGTCCTGCACCTGGGTTGGGGCAATCCCAAGCACAGATACAGGCTGGGTGATGAGTGGATTGAGAGCAGCCTTGTGGAGAAGGACTTGGGGGTGCTGGTGGATGAAAAACTGACTACAAGCCAGCAGCGTGCATTCGCAGCCCCGAAAGCCAATTGCATCCCGGGATGCATCAAAAGAAGCGTGGCCAGCAGGTCGAGGGAGGTGATTCTCCCCCTCTACTCCGCTCTGGTGACAACCCACGTGGAGTACTGTGTTCAGCTCTTGGGCCCCCAGCATAGTTATAAGAAAGATATGGACCTGCTGGAGCGAGTCCAGAGGAGGACCACTGAAGATGATCAGGGGGCTGGAGCACCTTCCCTGTGCGGACAGGTTGAGAGAGTTGGGATTGTTCAGCTTGGAGAAGAGAAGGCTCTGGGGAGATCTTATAGCGGCCTTCCAGTGCTTCAAGGGGGCCTACAGGAAAGATGGGGAGGGACTCTTGATCAGAGCCTGTAGTGATAGGATAAGGGGTAATGGTTTCAAACTGAAAGAGGGTAGATTTAGATTAGATGTAAGGAAGAAATTCCTCACTGTGAGAGTGGTGAGACACTGGAGCAGGTTGCCCAGAGAGGCTGTGGGTGGCGCTTCCCTGGAAGTGTGCAAGGCCAGGCTGGATGGGGCTTTGAGCAACCTGGTCTAGTGGAAGGTGTCCCTGCCCATGGCAGCGAGGTTGGAACTAGATGACCTTCAAAGATCCCCTCCAACCCAACCATTCTATGATTCTGTGATTCTGTGATTCTATGTCAGATTTGAGGTCTGAGTTTGCTGGGACTTTCCTGTTCCTTATGCATGTTTCACCTCACTATTGCCTGCTGGCAGGTGGGTGCAATCCTCTGCTTAGTCCAAACTCCCTGCCTATAAAGTGCTGTCACACACGGCTTTGTAAAGAGGTAGAGGGTGTTTCCTGGAGAACTGAATGGCTGGAAACATGCATTCCCAGACCCATGCACTGCCATAGGAGGGTCTCTCGCAGGACCACATCTCCACTGCCACCCCCAAAGGGGCAACGGTGTTTGCAGACTGCCAGAGACAGGGTACCCATCAGCAAGGACACCAGAATCCCAAGTCAGATGCTTCACAACTGTGTCAATACAGGCAGGTTATGCAGATTTAAGCCAAATGTAGACCCCAGCTTTTGAAGAAAAGTAAAACAAAATAAACTACAGTGATATGACTGAGGGCAAAATCTTCTCTCATGATTTTAGCCAATATAAGTTTTACATGCATTTGGATTACAGGATAAAAATTTTTATTTTTTCAGAGATCTGCCTTCATGCTCTATAGCAACAAGTTTCACAAAAAATGTTTCCGTGCATTTGTAAATGCACAAGTAAGACCTCCTAGGTCTGGCTTTTCCAAGCTCTGAATTTTGTGCACTGATAACACAGAAATACACTCTCTAGGGAAGACATGTAAGAAATGATTAACCCATAGAGAGCAAATTTCAAATACACAAGCAAGGCCTACTAATAGAAAATGAACTTGACCTTTGCTCAAAATGTAAACAAAACTTATTAGAATTATTTCTCATGGATTTAAAGCATTTTGGAAAGGGCTTTTGCACAGTTCATCTATGCATGCTCTGAGCCTGCAGGTACTACTGAATCCAGATGAAGTCTTGTCAGCAGAAGGTCTGAGGTAAGAAAGCTGCATTTCTGCATGCCTCTGATGAGGAAAGGTGGCAGAGGCTGGTTCAGGTCTTGCACTTAATCTAAGAAAACTAATGAGTGCTCTAGGTTATGTCAGCATTAATGATCTCACAGGCATCATTTCACTATCCAGACGCTGTCAGAGCTCATGGCGTTTGTTCTATTGCATCAGAAGGAAAAGAATAGCAGTTTTATACTGCCTGGCAATAGCTCTGCCATAGGCTTTGCTGGGGCAGATTTCTTAAGCTGCCTAAGTAACTCCCACAAAGTGCAGGAGTCTAGCTCACTATAGGGCATTTATAAGCAAAAAACCCTACACATTATACCGTAAAATATTTTTCAAAATTTCAGATCTAGTTTTTCATTGTTCATTTAAAACCTAGTTTATTGAAACATGTAAGCATTCATATAATCCTCCTTCTTTCAGAAAAGCAGTCAGGAACGTGCTTAGATTCCACATTTTTCAACAAAGCAAAAACATTTGATTTGATAGCTAAGCATGAGCTCAACTAAATCAGGGCTTTTACACCTGTAAAAATAACACTACTGAACCAGAATGGGAATATTTATTCTTGCTTTTTTTACTCAAGGTACAGAGGAAGAATAAACAACATCATTTTAAGGGCACTGATGATACTCTTCCCTTCATCACAAAGCTGATGTAAGAATTTTTTCCCTCTTTCTTTCCCGACACTTGTTCATCTTCCTGCACTGCAGCTTACAGCTCTCTTATTTGGATCAAAGCAGCTCTTTGTGGTACTGTATTACAAACTGTATTACTGAAAAGATCTGGGTTAAAAAATAAAATGCTTTCCTCCCTTGAAGATTTAGTCATCTGGTTTGCAGCAGAAACACATAAACAGCTGTTCTGCAGGATGGGGTGAAATGAACTATGGATGGGCTAATGAATAGCTGGAGGAGGGAGCTTCTCAGACCAATTTTCTGCCAGTGAAAACAATTGACTGAACAGCACACTAAGTTAAAATCCACATTAGGTGAAATTCAAAGCATTTTAGCGTACCGGTTAAAGAGTGCATATTACTTTTCTGTACTTACTGTGCCCCACCAGAGAGCATCTGCATATGTGGAGAACTGGTTATTTGCATCTTTTTCCACCAGATAAACCAGGAATGATGAAAAGATGAGTACTAAAAATCCTATGTACCAGGCTGTGATTAATTCCTAGATAAAAGAAATCAGAGATAAATATCCATTTCAAAGACTGAACAGAATGGCATTTCAAGGAAGACATAATGAAAAGATCTATATAATTTTTTGGCATTCGAGCAGTTTAAAAATGCTTCCCTACGGATGCAAATTTTCTCTCAAAGTGGATTGAATCTACTCCTATGGTTTGACGCTTCAGCAGCTTCACCAACATATATCAAATTACAACTTCATATGAAGGACAATATTTTCAACATATTCTAAAAACTGCTAGCATTTAACATGGCCTGATGTATCTGTGCTAATGCTCATTATAATTGATGTTACTTCAGAAAATTTTAGGTATTCTGTTCCAAACTGATAAAATGTTTGCTTCCTTGGCCTCTTGTTGAATCACATCAAGTGAAGATATCAACCAGACAAAATCAGCATCTAGAATTACATACCTTGCTATGTGCATAAACTACTGAACCTAATAATTTCCAAGTGCCTCCTCTTCGGTCCATGCGCACCATACGAAGGATCTGTAGGAAACGAAGACTTCTCAGTGCTGATGTTGCAAAAATGTTACCCTGAGTTTTTGCAGAAACAACTGCTATTGAAGCGATGAGAACAATGATGTCTGAAAGAAATACATTACAAAAACCATTAATGTCCAAGTACCAATAAATAATGCATACATGTACATGAGCTGAATGAGGGGGCAAAAGAGAGACTCCTGTGATGGGGGGCGTCAGAAGCACTGAGATTCCTGTTTGAGATAGGGATGTAAGGTCAGGGCTGGTGTCAAAAACTGCCTTGGGAGCCTTTAGGGTGAAAACTGAGGGTAGTAATTTTGAAAATATATGGATAAGAGGAGCAATGTTGAAGGAACCTCATGCAGGTGCTTTGAAGCCTGAGGTAGCAAGCTGTAAAAATCAGTAGATGGGTTAGAACTTTTCCCCTTTGTATCTTTTCCCATAGCAACTTTCCTATGAAAAGGCAAAAAAGAAAACAAAGGTAAGAAAAAAACAGAGCAGCCCCAGTGGTGGGAGTCCAGTGGAACCAGACTCACAAGCACATGTATTAATTTCCTAATTTCCAACCACTATGTGGTTGAGGCATGTAGTTCCTGGACACAACCCCCCTGATGTACCATGTCCTGCAAAGGAAGAAATACAGTGCTGGGTACTCAGAAGCCTGGAAAGTTTGTTGAAGCCCAGCAAGTATTAGGATTTATTTCTTCATGTCACAGATTCAAACTGTGAGAGTGAGTTTGTTCTGCAGGAACTAATCAGCCAACTGCCCTTAAAGCCAGAAGAGCATTTAAGGGGAGATGAGAAGAAGAAGCACAGTGATGGCACACAGATGCTGTGAGAAGGCATAAAGTTCTTCTACAATGATTGGGGCAGACACAGTGTTGCGCACGGAGTGGAAAAACACAGAACAAGCTCTTTGTTACTTCATTACCTCATAATTAATTTCCTGACCTTCTTTAAAAGCTTTAAGAGCCTTTGTGAGAAATACCTGGTTTAAATCTTAGGATTTTGTGGTGTTTGTTTGTTTCTGTGCAAGGACAACCTAAACCTGTGTTTGCTGGTGAAGAACTGAAGGAAGTTCTTGTTTACACGAGTTTTGCTTCTTTTGTATTGAGTATGAACACTCATCTTGTCCCAAGCATAGCTCCTACAGGTCAAGAATGACCCAGCAAGTGAAAAGGTCCCCCACAGGCGAGTGGTGAGAGAGACTGGCTGTTCTACAAGCAGGAGACTGTTTCCTTAGCCTGCTCCAGTACAGTAGGAAGTAGCCTTAGTTCATTCTTCTCAGCCACCAAAGTAAGTTAAGGACCAAATACCCCAAAATACCCAAAACATCCTGCATTTCTCTGAACTCACCTATGGACAGCTTTGTCCTCTTATTACAATACTAAGGGTAAAGACAGCCTGCGGTTTAAGCAGTGCCCTGTTAGTTGTGAAAATCCTTCTCACAAGGTGCTAAGTTTACATAGGTTCAAAGCCAGCGAGATGATCTCATGGGAGAAGATTTAATCCCAGGCTAATTAATACTGAGAGCCCACTTCTGGCTCAGGATGTCTCAAAGTAGCAGGCTGTTGGAGGATGAGAGACTCTTACAGAGAAATAGCACTGTACGTTTACCCTTGCTCGTGTAATCTTCTCTGTCTATCCACTGTTGGCTGGTGTCACTGTTGGACATAATGTCCTAGGCTGACTTTCTGCCTGTCTTATGCTCTGACATTTTAAAATGCCTCTGGCTACTACATAGGTGGATTATAAGTGGTTACTATATAATTGACTACCAGAAAAGGTGGATTTGCTTCTAGATGTAAATCCAAAAGGTTCAGAGATCAAGAAGAGCCAGAAATGGATAAAGTATCCTGGCCTGTCTCTGTACAGTACAAGTCTCAACAGCATGACAACCAGATGAAGGAGGTCTGGGTGAGAATTCAGAAACAGGACAACTGACCAGGAAAAGTTAAAAGACATCACAAATTCTTATGGAGAGCAGAAAAATAGTTGAGGCGGGATTCCGCTCCATGTGAAGATATTTAAATTTAGGTGTCTACATGTGAAGTGAGTGTCTAAACTCCCCATGCAGCACAAGGAAATCATGTCAACTGAGAGAGGTGCAGCTAATCCTCAGGAAGGTTCCTGCTGGCTGCTCAGCTGACTTGTTCTCTGGGCTTGGCACAAAAAAAGGCTTGATCCAGCTGCCTGAATTTAGTTGGCCAGCGCCATCTGAGATGTCTCAAGGTATCTGAGGCATCCCTTAGGTCTGGCAGCTATGCTCTCAGACCTGGGAAGACTGTGCCTTACAGGAGAACTTGCTGGAGAGCAGAGAATATCATGTAACGGGGACACCTTTATTTACTTCACTGAACTAAGCCCTGGATCTCCACTGACTATACTGGAAGTGTCGACACGTAGCACACACGTACCCACCTATAAGCAAACTTCTATATTTAGCTGTGTTTATCTGGATCTGAGGCTCACATAGAGCATGCTGGAAAGCCTTGCGCAATACCAACTGTGTTGAAGAAAGAGTACTGCTAACTAACAAGATGGCAAGGTTAGTTTGGCTTGTCTCACGTTGCTCCGAGCAGAGCAGCAATCTAACAGCCATTTTTAATTAGTGGTGACTGGCTAGCAGCAGATCAGATAGCATTAGAAAAGCAGTGTGCACTCCCGCAAATCATTCTTAGGACTTAAAAAAGAGTAAGGTCACCCAAATACTATGAAAAATGCACTCCGTCTGGAAATTGTTAAAGTGCTTACTGGAGGTTTTGGTTACCCTCAACCACTCTCAACAGGATAGTTTTTTACAAAAGCTAATGATTTGGCCCTGCCCATTCCAGGAGTTCTGACAGCTTTTTTTATAATAGGGAGTTTCCTGGAAGTCCTCCACTGAAAAAAAAAATCAAATTAATTAAGTTTCGCCAGCACTGCACACCATCTGCCCTGTGCCTCTGGGAACCCTCAGCCCCGCTGAGGATCTCTGGTCCCCTCTGACCATGACAAAGAAGCCAACATGAGCATAACTCTCTTTTCTGTTTTTGAAGTATTAGTCCAAGGGAGTTATCTACTTGTGTATACCCTTTTAGATGGAGGGTAGGGATGGGGAGAGGTAAAGGGAGGAGAGGCTGAGGAAACAAGGGAGCAGAAAATGCACTGGCACATGTTTAAAAAACAGTTGGAGGGAGGAGAGCCTTTGCAAGCTGGTGGTTCTTTCACACCTTGCTCTCTCATCTTCTTACAATACACCCAACCCCCCAAAAACCACTCCCACCAACTCTTCAGGCTGGGAATAGAGAAGGAAAGAG